ACCTCTAACCAATACTACTTAAATTATTCAAAATGATAGAAACAGGGAGAACTCCCAAATTCCTTCTATGAAGCCAATGTCACTCTAATACCCAAACCCAGTAAAGACACAACCAAAAATAGACCCACATCCTTAATTAACATAGATGCAAAAATTCTGAACAAAATACTTGCAAACCGCATACAGACAATAAAAAAGATCATCCACATGATCAAATTGGCTTTATTCCAGAGATGCAGGGATAGTTTAATATATATGTCAATAAATGCAATAAACCATATAAATGAACTTAAAGACAAAAATTACATGGTCACCTCAATAAATACAGAGAAGGCCTTTGACAAAATCCAACATGCATTCATGTTAAAAGTCCTAGAGGGAATTGGACTGGAGGGACTATACCTCGACATAATTAAAGCTATATACAACAAGCCCACAGCCAATATCATTCTAAATGGAGAAAACCTGGAAGCATTCCCATTAAATCAGGAACCAGACAAGGATGTCCACTATCTCCACTCCTTTTCAACATATTGCTTGAAATTCTTGCTGGATCAATAAGACAGGAGAAGGAAATTAAAGGAGTAATAATTGGAAAAGAAGAGGTCAAACTATCACTTTTTTCAGATGATATGATACTATACCTGAGATATCCCAAAAGTTCCACCAGAAAACTCTGAGAACCTATCACTTTTGCAGATGATATGATAATATACTTAAGAGATCCCAAAAGTTTCACCAGAAAACTCCTAGAACTGATCAACACTTTCAGTATACTGGCAGGTTATAAAAATCAATCTACAAAAATCAGTAGCCTTTATATACCAAGAACAAGCAATTGGAGAAAGAATACAGGGAAATGCTCCTATTCACAACTGCTGAAAAAAAAAAAAAACACCACATCACCAGACATGGTGGTACACCCCTTTCATCCCAGCACTGGGGAGGCAGAGGCAGGTGGATCTCTGTAAGTTCAAGTCTGGTCTACATAGCGAGTTCAAGGTCAGCTGGGGCTACAGGAAGACCCGGTCTCAAAAAGGTTTAAAAAAAATTCTTGGAATAAATCTGACCAAAGACACCAAAGATCTCTACAATGAAATTTTTAAATCATCAAAGAAAGAGATTGAGGAAGACATTAGGAGATGGAAGGACCTCCCATGCTCATGGATTGGAAGAATTAATATGGTGAAAATGACCATCCTACCAAAAGCAATATATAGATTCAATGCAAGAGCAACGCTGGTGGGATTACTATACCAGATCTCAAAGTATACTATGGAGCTATAGTCATAAAAACAGCATGGTACTGACAAAAATAGACACATAGATCAATGGAACATCATTGAAGACCTAAACTCAAGTACATGCAATTTCAGCCACCTGATATTTGACAAAGGTGCAAGAACACACAACGGAGGCAAGACAGCATCTTCAACAAATGGTGCTGGCAAAACTGGATCTCCACCTGTAGAAGAATGAAACTAGATCCTTATCTTTCACCTTGCACAAAAGTCAACTCCAAATGGATCAAAGGTCTTAATGTGAGACTGGAAACTCTGAAACTATTAGAAGAAAATATTGGCAGTAACTTACAAGATATAGGTATAGGAAAGGATTTTTCTAAATCAGACAGAAGCTGCTCAGGAATTAAGGTCAGCAATCAACAAATGGGACCTCATTAAACTAAAAAGCTTCTGTACAGCAAAAGAAACAATCAAAAAAGTGAAGAGAAAACCCACAGAATGGGAAAAAAATCTTCACCAGTGACACATCTGACAGAGGTTTAACATCCAGAATATATAAAGAACTCAAAAAACAAAGAATCAAGAAACCAAATGACCCAATTAAAAGATCTAAACAGAGAGTTCTCAAAGGAAGAAATAAAGATGACTAAGAAACATCTCAAAAAGTGTTCAACATCATTAGTAACTAGGGGGATGCAAATTAAAACCACCCTTAGGTATCACCTTACCCTAATCAGACTGGCTAGGATCAAGAGAACAAATGATACCAAATGCTGGTGAGGATGTGGAGAAAGGGGAATGCTCATTCACTGCTGGTGGGATTGCAAACATGCAACCTCTGTGGAAAACATTGTGGAGAACTCTTGAGAACTCTTAAAAAACTACAAATGAACCTACCATTTGACCCAGTTATACCACTCCTTAGCATATACCCAAAGGACTCATCTTATTGCAGAGACACGTGTACAACCATGTTTGTTGCTGCTCTTTTCACAATATCTAAGAGACGGAAGCAACCTAAGTGCCCCTCAATTGATGAGTGGTTAATAAAAATGTGATATATTTACACAATGGATTTCTATTCATCAGTAAAGAAAGATGAAATAATGAAATTTGTAGATAAATGGATAGATCTAGAACATAAACTCAGAAAAACAAATGACATGTTTTCCCTCGTATGTGGATCCTAACCCCAAATCTAAATTCCATGTCCTTTTAATAAGATGATGCTGTACAGCAGTCTCTACTGCATGAAATAACTACCATCATCACGACTTCAGCTGTGCCTGATCACTAAATATTGTCATAATTGGGCTTGTTGACAGTTGTGCTCATTCATGAAAAGAGGGCCAAACAGGGTCATTGGACCCTTACCAGATTATCCAGCCACTCTTCCCAGCCAACATATATAATCTGGCCCTAATCACACATGGTTTCCTGGATTTCGGGAGGGCTAAAGTATAAAATCTGGAGAAGGCTAGGAAGAGAAGGCATGACCCATGCTGGGTAAAGGCTTTCCAGTGTGCATACCCTCAGGTCCTACATACACCTCAGCAACCCCTCAGTTATCTTGGTCAGAAAGCTCAGTAAATTCATTGGTTTTCCTGTAAAACTTCAATCAAACACTGGCTTAATACTAGAACCTTAAAAGGGAATAAGCATTGCTTAGTATCCCCAGGAAAAGAATTATCACAACAAATGGGAAATTTATTTGTTAATGCTATTATGTCTCATAATCATTAAAAAAAAAGAAAATGAGAATGTGGAAGATGTTAAAAGGATGTGGGAATGGGGATACTTTCCAAAATAGAAAAAATGAGAAAGCCTAAGCAAGTGATGAAGGTCTGTGTAGGTTTGTTATGATATACAAAGGATGAGACAAAATAATATACACATAATCTTAAAATTTCTAAGGTCATAGTTTATTCAATTTGTTTAATAAACAAAATATATATCTAGTCAAGGTTTATCTGAGAACATTTGTTTTTTTTAACCAAGCTTTATCTACATAGCACATGGTAATTAAAAGTATCAGACTGGTGGAACTAATCTTATTGGATTTTTAAAAGCCATATTTTGGAGCATATACTAACTAATCTGGTCGGAGGGACTTAAAGTTTTTGCCCCTTGCCCTCCAAGGTCGAGTAAGTTCCAGGGGACTATGGAAAATCTCTCAAAATGCCCTGTAACTGTGGAGAGTCATCTGTCCTCCTGTTCAGGGAGATTATGGAGAACCCATGAGATGGACTTGAACCAGTGTCCAGTCTACAAAGAGGAGGGTGAACTCAGAGGAAACATCTCAACCATACTTCCAAGTTAAGCCAGATATGGTTGAGCAGGACCTTTGACTTGTCTTTACATAGGTGGAACTGGTAAAAGAAAGGAGCCAGGGGTTCTTCCCAAGCCCATGTGACCCCTGAGGAACAGATCCTCAAACGACTTGAAGTGTAAACATAAATTGATTTATTTGGGCCAACTGTATGGTTAAACACCCAAAAGGAAAGTATAACCAAAGAGTAAAGTCATCAGTATATTTAAAAGTTCAAGGGAGTACACTTCTCAGACATTTGTCTTAAGTCCACATAAAAAGTTATTTAGACAATTATTTCTCATTGATGATTTTGTTCCTAACTAGAAAGTGCTGCTCTAAGACTTCAAATCTTGGTCTCCAATACTGTAGTGCCCACCTGTAGCTAACTAAGGGAGACAACCAGCTATTGTTCTAAAATGATGGATAAATTTGTTTTCTCCCCTTATCTAGAAGCCTTTGAGAGGGAACTGACACTGATTATAACCACTCCAACACCTATCAAAATACCTGAAAGCAAATCCTGAATCTATCACTCTAGAGTCCAGCCTTGGAAGACAAAAGAAAAATGAGGAGGAACCCAATAGAGGGATGCTTTGAAGCCCTTGTCAAGAAATCCCAATGGACTCTGATATGAACATTTAAAAACTGCCGTTCTGACTTTTTTATGGTTCCCTGTCTGAACTTGTAATGCTAACTACTCTTGCCTTTACTTCTTCACATCCCCTATTCACCAGTCAAGGACTCTCTTTTCTCCCTACAGATAAGAGTTATGCAATTTAGGAGTCTTTTAGATAGACCCACTGAAAGGGTACTCCAATTGCTTCATCCTGTGTCCCTGTTCAGCATGGAAGAAGCCAGAGTGGTCTGCTTCCCGAATCCCTATCAGCAATTTGGGTAACCTCCTCAGAGGATGGTATGATAAGAATAGGAGGTAGGAATTGGCTAGGCAGCTAGAGCAAAAAGACCCCAAAGAAAAGTAGCCAGTTTCTTGGCTAAAAGTCAAAATGTCCTTGGGTCTCTTAGCAACACACTCTGTTCCAAAGGCCAAAAATGACAAAGGTTTTTGTGAGCTCTTACCTAATCCCTAAAAGATTTTAGGGTTACCTCTTCAGAGGGGTAATATTAGAGTAGCAAAACACCCCACTTGAAAGAAAGAAAGAAAGAAAGAAAGAGAAGAAAGAAAGAAAGAAAGAAAAAGAAAGAAAGAAAGAAAGAAAGAAAGAGAAAGAAAAGAAAGAAGAGGTTGTCAGAAGAAAGAGATGGGGAAATATGGGAGGTGTTGGAGGGGAGGGAGTGGGCACTGTATCTGTGAGAACCTTGATCTTAGAATTCCCAGCTCTTAGAACTGTGTAAGATCAATTTCTGTTGTTTACAAATTGCTCAAGGTATTTATTGCGCTGACAGGCCAATGGTTAAGACTTACACCCTGGCTCTCAGTCACTCACCTGGGCCCCGGCGTTGCCTTGATGGTTCCGCCATCCATGGTGGTTTCCCTTTCTGGAGCAAAGTGATGACATTTGGCCTCCGGGAGCAAAGACCTATGTGTGGAACAAAAATGGGAACTGAGCACGATGCCAACACCACTGAAATCAGAACTGAGCCCTATGTCCACAGGATGAGGATTTACCATCAAAACAGGAATGCAGGGATGTGATGGGCAGCTGCAGAATGGGGGTGGAGGTTGACACTGAAATTTATTTATTTATTTTTAAAAAATATTTTATGAATTATTTTTATTTTCTGTATATGAGTGTATTGCCTGCATATATGGAAGTACACCCGTGTCGTATCTACCGTGGAGGTCAGAAGAGGGTGTTGAGCTCCTAGAACTGGAGTTAAGGAGTTGTTAGCCGCCATGTGGATGCTGGGAACTGAACCTGGGTCCTCTGCAAGAGCAGCCAGTGCTCTTAACTGCTGAGCCATCTCTCCAGCCCTGACATTGAATTTTTCCAAAATATTTTATTTATTATTTTTATGTATATAAGTGTATTGCCTGCATGTATGTGAGTGCACCTGTGTCGTGCAATGCTGCGGAGATCAGAAGAGGGCTTCAGATTCCCCTGGAGTTAGAGTTAAGGACGGTTCATAGCCGCCAAGTGGGTGCTGGGACTAGAACCCAGATCCTCTGCAAGAGCAGTCAGTGCTCTTAACCATTAGGATTCCTGTTTCCTGACACATAACTCCTAAAAACATCTATCCTCCAAAGTGGTGTCTTTCATATGCTCATGAGATAGCTGGTGTGTATAGGCTCCTGGAGAGCCTCAGGATGGACCAGAGCAATCTTTTAGGGATTAGGTAAGAGCTCCCAAAAACTTTTGTGATTAGGGCTTGGGCTTCTACCCTGCCTCCAAACTGCACAGAGAGCAGCCAGGTTGGAGACTGATCACTGACAGCCAATAATGGGATCAGTCATAAGAACATTGTGTGGAATTCTCAAGGAACTAATAAAAAGTTAGAAAACATCATGCCTGTATAAACTCAAGAGGACAGGGTTCAGAGACCTTCTAGGCTGATCAACACGTGGAGAGTGGCATTCCCAGAGAGGGCAGTCACTCTGAGCTTCCTCCTGTTCCTCTCCTGATGCATCTCTTTCTTTACCTGGAGTCTTTCTAGCATCTTTTATACTAAACTAGTAAACAAATAAAAGTACGTGCCCAAATTCTGTGATGTACTTAGCAAACTATCAGACCTGAAGGGTACCAAGGACACTCCCAATTTACAGTTAGCTGAAAGTTCTGTGGGTCTGATACTTTCTCCAGGCAGGTGGACTCAGGACTGGAAAGTCAGGTGGGCATTTGGGTGAGAAACATTTGAAATGGGGAACCCCCCGCCCAACACACACACACACACACACACACACACAGACACACACACTTTGTTTTTATTTATTTATTTACTTATTTATTTATTTTGGTCTTTTTGAGGCAGGGTCTTCCTGTAGCCCACAGAGATCCCCTGCCTCTGCCTCCCAAGTGCTGGGATTAAAGGTGTGCGCCACCACGCCCAGCTTATTTATTTTTTTTAACTTAAAAAAATTTATTGAGAATTTCATACATGCATATGTGTTCTGAGCAAATCCATGTCAACTCCCTCCCCTCCAACTCCTCCCATATCTCCCCATCACTTTTTCCTGACAACTTTGACACACACACACACACACACACACACACACACACACACACATTTTAATTTCAGACTATTCTGTGCTGAACGGTGAATGTGAGAATTGGTTTTAAAAATCTTATATAGGGGCTGGAGAGATGGTTCAGGTTAAGAACACTGGCTGTTCTTGCAGAAGACTTGGGTTTGGTTCCCAGTCCCCACATGGCAGCTAACAACCATCCATAACTCCAGTTCTAGGGATCTGAAGCTCTCTTCTGTCCTCTGCAGGCACTGTATGACTTGGGAGTACTTACATACATGCAAGCAAAACACTCATACACATAAAATAAAAATAAATAAATCAAAAAATTTTAAATCATATCTAGGGGGCTGAAGAAATGGTTCAAGCAGTTAAGAGCACGTATTGCTCTTGCAGAGGACCTGAGCTCAATTCCCAACACCCATGTCAGGTTGTTTACTACCAGCTGGGGGAGTTAAAACCTCTGGCCTCTGTGGGTACCTACACTCACATACCCACACAGATACACACATATACACATTATTTAAAATAATAAAAACAAATCTTAAAAAATATTTTATGGGGTGGAGAGATGGCTCAGCAGTTAAGAACACTGGCTGTTCTTGCAGAAGACCCGGGCTAAAATCCCACATGGCAACTAACAACTGTCCATAACTCCAGTTCCAGGGTATCCGACAGCCTCTTCTGTCCTCTACGGGCATTGCATAACACAGGTGCACTTATCTACATGCAGGCAATACACTCATATGCATAAAAAAATAAATAAAAATTTAAAAACTTAAGTACAGTGTTTCCAAATAACCACCCTTTCCACTTAAAAATACATAACCAAGAGAAATAAATGCAGTTGAAACCTGCAGAGGAATGCTCGCAGCCACAAATCCTAACAGTAGGGACAACCTGGAACGCCCATCCGTTCATGAGAGAACAGATGAGATGAATGTGAAGGAAAACGGGGATTTAATCCTTGTTCTCTCCCTCTGTCTCTGTTAGCAAGCTTCAGCGGACAAGTTTGTCGTTAGAACTGTCACACAGCTAGCCAGAACCACTGGCCTTCTGTCCCAACGAACTTCCCCAATTCTGTTTGTTGGAGACTTCGGCAATGATTTTCAGACAGAGGATTTTTTTTAAAGCATGTTTTTCTTTTCTAAATTTATAATAGTTTGCCCGATTTAAAGACTTTGCTGATAGCCAATCAATATGTAAGTTTCCTTCTCACCGTAAACCAACGCACAAGGATATGACCTACTTCCCTTTGGGGTCCAGAGTTTGAGATTTGAGCCCACTGGACCAGACTGCAGCCTAAATAAAATCCATGCTGGTGTCCTGCCTGACCTTTCCTGCAACACCAAACAATCTAATATCATCCAGCAATGAAGAGGAAGAGGTGCTGGTACATGCTGCAGCAGGGGTGAACCTCGAAACATTATACTAAACGAGAGACGCCACCTGTTCGTGATTCTGTTTCTATACAAGGCTCGGGTTAGCAAATCCACAGAGACGGAGAGAGTAGGGCCGGCTAATCGTAGAGGGTATGCAGGAATGGAAAGTGAATGGTGAGTTACTGACTGCAGTTTCTTTGGCGAACAGTGAAAATATTCTAAAATTGATTGTGGTAGTATGTGTACAACTCTGTGAATATAATAAAAGCCAACAAATTTTGTACTTTATATAGGATACATATATATGCACATATATCACATATATGTGTATATATCACCTGCATATGTATGTATAACCTATATATATATGTTTACATGTGGATATACACACATATATAAAGTTGTTTTAAAAATCCACATGCACACGATTAGAGTGGTTTCCATTTTCCTGACTCGACCCTGATAGATACATGCATGTCCCTTTATAGCCTATCTGGATTATGAGGGGCTGAGGAGAGCCTTACCAAGTGAGACCAGGTTCTGATAGTTCTCCAACATGACCTCTTCATACAAATCCTTCTGAATGGGGCTCAGCCCTTCCCATTCCTCTTGTGAGAAGTAGATGGCTAAGTCCCCAAAAGTCACTGATGCCTGAAATTAAAAAAAAAAATCATACGACCATTCAACCACGAGCCTGTACTTCTGCATGTATACTGTTGGAGAGAACAGTGACCGTGTCCCAAACACGGGAGACATGTTGGTGACAGCAGTTCTGAGACCAAAAGAGCAGGTGTCTTAAATAAATGAAATGTAATTCAATATGCTGTGCCTGTTACTACAGATAATGTTATGTATTTTAATAAATAGAATTGGGGGTGGGCTGAGGAGGTGGCTCAGTGGTTACGAGCACTGGATGCTCTTGAAAAGGACCCAGGTTCAGTTTCCAGCACCCACATGGTGGCTAACAACTACCTATAACTGCAGTTCTGGGGGATCCCACACCTTCTTCTGGTCTCTGTGGGCATTTTATGTATATGGTTCACATACATACACAGGCAAAATAGTCATACATATAAAATAAATAAAATTAAAAAAAAACAATCCCAGCAATTTGGATCTACTAGTATTTACAAAGTTAAAGTGCTATCTAAGCACTGACTGTGTTGACTCATTCAGTACCCACACTAACTAGCGGTAAGACACTGCACTGAGGGGATCCTAATCACTGAGGCCAGGAGAGGTGAGGTACATTACTGCAGTTCACACAACTTCTAAATAAGGAGCTGGGGTACCAGGCAGTGTGGATCCCGAGGTAAGTTCCTATCCATAGTCTGTAAAAAGCACACGAGTTTGTTACATGCGGCAAAACATTCTTCAATCAGGTTATCAGGGATTGATCACAATGTAGGAAGACTTTGAGTATGTGTGTCCTGTATGTATGTGTTCATGTGGGTGTGTGCAAGTGTGAGGGTGCACGGGTGTCAATGTGTATGGAGGTCAGAGGTCGATGAGTGTCATTCTCAATGGCTTGCTGCTTTGTTTTTTATTTATTTTTATTATATGTTTATGACTGTTTTGCCTGTAAGTATACCACATGCATGTAATGCCCATGGAAGTCAGAAAGGGGCACTGGATTCCCTGGAACTGGAGTTATAGATGGTTGAGGACTGAACCCCAGTCCTCTGCAAGAGCAGTCAGTGCTCTTAACTGCTTAGCCATCTTCCTAGCCCACCACCTTATTTTTTGAGATAGGGTCTCTCACTGAATCTGAAGCTCGCCAATTTTGCTAAGTTGGCTGGGCCATGAGTTCTAGGGATCCACCTGTCTCCACATCCCCAGTGCTGGCATTAGATGTGTGCTGTTGAACCTGGCTTTTATTTTTTACACTTTTTTTCATATTTATTTACTCATTTGTGTGTGTATGGGGCGGTGTACTATGGTACACAGGTGGAAGCCTGGGGGCAACCTGTAGGAATCAGTTTTCTCTTACAGAAAGTCTATTAATTTGGTTTCCTGTTGCTATGATAAAAGACTCTGACCAAAAACTACTTGGAGAGGAAAGGGTTTACCGCATCTTACACTTCCAAGTGACAGCCCATCATTGAGGGAAGTCAGGCAAGAACCCGGGGCAGGAACCTGGAGGCAGAAACTGAAGGATCATGGAGGAATGCTGCTTACTGGCTTGCCCCTCTGGCCTGTGCTCAGCCTGCTTTCTTATACAACCCAGGACTACCTGCCCAGGGGTGGGCATCACCCACAGTGGGCTGGCCCTCCCATATCAAGAAAATACCTCACATGGGGCCAGAGAAATAGCTCAGCAGTTAAGAGCACTGGCTACTCTTACAGAGGACCTAGGTTCAGTTCCCATCACCTACATGGCAGCTCACAACCATCTGTAACTCCAGTGCCAGAGGATACCTTCTTCTGGCCTCTCTGGGCATTGCACAACATGGGTGAACTTATCCACATGAAGGCAAGATACTCATTCACATAAATAAAAATGAACTAATAAAAGAAAAGCCTGAGAGACAAGCTCATAGGCTAATTTGGCAGAGGAAATTCCCCAACTGAGGTTCTTCCTCGGTGTGTCAAGTTAACAACCAAAGCCAACTATGACAGAGAGATTGACTAGGTCTTGATCTGGCTTGCTTGGGTATTGGTGTTGCTGTCATGAAGATAGAAAAAAAACAGCCATACAGGCCAGAGAGATGGTTCAGCAGTTAAGAGCACTGGCTGTTTTCGCAGAGGACCTGGGTTTGGTTCCCAGCACCCACATGGTGGCTATGGTGGCTAACAACTGTCCATAGCTCCAGTTCCAGAGGATTCAGTGCCCTCTTCTGACCCTCACAGGCATTACACAACATGGGTGCACTTACCTACATGCAGGCAATACAGTCATATACATAAAATAAAAATAATAAATAAAATATATATTTTTTAAAAGGCCATGTGCAAAACATGAAAACAAACTGAATTCTGTTAACAACCAGCAGACCTGGAGGAGGACCTGAGCCCCTAATAAGAACATAATCAACACCTAGATTTTACTCCTGGGAGACCTAAGCAGAAGACCCAGCTAAGCCCTGTTGAGCCTGAACCCTGACCATCTCAGACATTGCTGATATGAATATTTTGTGCATCAAGAGGGAACGAAGGCATATAACTCTGGATGAAATGTGGTTTGGTTTTTTAAGACAGGGCCTCATGTATCCTAGCTGGCCTCAAACTCACTAGGTAGCCAAAGATGACCTTGAACTCCCAGTCCTCCTGCCTCTGCCTCCCCAGTCCTGGGATTACAGGCAGGACCCACCATACTTGGTTTATGGAGTGCCAGGGATGCTATGGTTTTATGTATCCTAGGCAAGGACTTTACCAACTGAGCCACATCCCCAACCCAGAGAAATGTGTTTGTGAGGAGAAACCATCCTGGAGTTGCTGTGCCACTCCGTTGATTGTCTCCCATGGTGATGCAGGCTGACCACAGGGGTCACCTCACTTTTCTGTCTCCAATTCACTCCTCGTTCTTATACTTTAACCAGGGAAATTTCTTCCATGTGAATATATATAT